ACCGCTCTGTGAAAAATGAGGCCAATCCATCAGGGGAGAGACAGGTCAGCAACAACACAAAACTACAATTTTCACTTAAAAATATTTAGATAAGCTTATGTTTGGCTTAAATATTTAGACTACTAACATCTTCCAGACAACACCAAGGCGGCAGAGTGGAGAAGGCCGGGAGGACCCAACACCACGTAAGCCTCTGGGTAGCCCCAGCAGGGCAGCCTCCACTCCCACTCGTACTGGACTTGCTGAGAACAGGTGTTATGAAAATTCATGTTCTAATATCCAGGCAAATTACATCTTGTGAACAATGTGATAATTTAAAGTGTAACTTTAAGTGATATTGCTAGGTATCTACTTTATTTGAAAGTATTTTTATGCAAAATGCTAGGTGATGTAATATTCAGGAACTCTTCTAAACCAGAGTTTAATGTGGTGTCTCTCTTTTTAAGGAAATGAAGCTCAGCTTCCTAAAATTTAAAAATGTATGGGGTCCATATTGTGTATGTTGTTTGATAAAGTCAAGCAAGGAGCTACTGTTAATTTTTCATTTTAAATGTTATTGTTGTTTTAAAAAGTGCACTGTATCTGACTATCTATAAATGAAAACCTAAACAAAATTTCATTCCATTTTAAGAATGGTTATTTCAGACATTTGACATAAATTGGTGTTTGCTGTTTTTTAGGAGCGAGAAGAGAAAGAGACTCCTTAATTCTGAAAGTGACCTGACTGAGGACTACCCTAAGGAAAATGACTCCTCAAGGTAAAAGCAGCACATCTCACTAACCAGGCAGACGTTTAGGGGTGCTGGTCACACATAGACTGACCTGATTTATACAGCCTTTTATCAGAACACTTGGCCAAGACCCTCCACCCCCAAAATCTGATGGCAATACAGAAGAAGGTTAATACAGTAGTGTAACTGGTATCATGGTGTGGCAGTGTGGTGCTGCAGCACCAAAATGGAAAAACTTTAGATTGTTTATGAATGTAGACAGTTTATTTTGCATATTCACTTTAGGTCCTCTGTTTCCACAGTCAGATAACATAAAAAAATATTTATACATTTTCTTAGCAACAACAAGGCCACTTCAGACGCACCCAGGAAGTTTTTACTTAACTGCAAAGAGAAGCTGAAGCAGGCAGAGGAGAACAGGAGTTCAGGTAAATGCCTTTATCCACAGCTCAGCAGCAATACCAGATGGCGAGTCTGTGGCTAGTTATGTTGGGTGACTGCATATATTTTTGTGTTGCTGTGTTGTCAGTTTTATTAGCATCAGGAAAATGTGATCTTGCTGGTTGAATTTATCTACATAACTCTGGAGATGTACTGCACTTTTGTATTTGTGCTATATGAATTTTCAGACCTTAAACTGTCTTTATGTGGCACCACACTTTTTTCCTTCCCTGCAGCTTCACTAAGTTCAACTCCCCTTCAGCCAGCGTCATTCTATGGCAGCCGATCTGTGACTAAAGACTATAGCCAGAGCCACTCTTTTCTGGACAGGTGAATTTCTTCAGTGATCAGCTAAAATACACAAGCTAGCAGAGTTAAAATGCAAAATAAGGGGATCAGCAAATCACTGCCGAACCCATCATTAACACCTCTTCTGTTGTAAAAATCCCCTCAGACCATCCAGTACAGCACAGACGACCACGGTCAAAAGAAGCCTAATGCTGCCCAACCACTCCACTCCCTTCAAGAAGGTACGCCCCTCTCTGGACTACGGTGGCTGGAACAAGCCGAGACCCTCTACTATGGCACAGCCTCAGCCTCCACTGCAAGGGTAAGAAAAAAAAAAAAACAGATGGGCTTCATTAAATATGAGAGGATGGATTTCACCAAACTCCTCCCAGACTCGAGTTTTTGCCTCCACAACTATCTGGGCTGTAGTCCGCCTTGCCTGCCGCTGCCGGTACCCGTCAGCTGCCTCAGGAGTCTCACGAGCCAACCAAGCTCAAAAAGACTCCTTCAGCTTGACGGCATCCCTTATTTCCGGTGTCCACCACCGGGTTCGGGCATTGCCGCAACGACAGGCACCAGAGACCTTACAGCCACAGCTCCGAGTGGCCGCATCAGCAATGGAAGTGGAGAATACGGTCCACCCTGAGTATCAAGTCTCTGGATGTTGTGGGGCTGTCTTGGCTGACATGCCTCTGCAACATCGCATGGTGGTTGGGGACAGTGCCTCTGGACTGGCAGACCGGGGTGGTGGTCCCTCTTTTCAAGAAGGGGGACCGGAGGGTGTGTTCCAACTATAGGGGGATCACACTCCTCAGCCTCCCCGGGAAACTCTATGCCAGGGTACTGGAGAGGAGAATTCGACCGATAGTCGAAGCTCGGATTCAGGAGGAACAATGCGGTTTTCGGCCTGGCCGTGGAACACTGGACCAGCTCTATACCCTCTTCAGGGTGGCGGAGGGTTCAT